CAATTCAGTATTTTTCAGAAGTAAAAGCCATACTTACACCGCTCTACGACACTTACGAGAAACATTGCCAGAGCGGTGACATCGACAAATGCGTTGATTTCTATCACCCGGATGCTGTGATGGTGGAAAAAGGAAAAACTGCTGCCTACGGAAAAGCTCGTGAGTTCAAGACCTAGATTACACAAGAAAAAATTTTGTTAACTTATTAACGTGTACTACAAAGTTTGAAAAGAGTAATGAAATTATCCGCGAGGTTTGCGGTCTACAGTGTGCCAGTGCCAAGATTTGTTATTCGTACGGAGATGTTCCAGTTTTTCTGCTTGAAAGTGCAGGAACAACTAGATTTTAACAGATTTTCTTTAAGATGACACTAAACAAAAACTGAAAATTTTTCTTCACAGCTGAGATAGTAGGTTATAATGAAAATTTTCTTACATTTATTTCATCTTTATTCCAAAAGTGGTGGAAACTTCATAAAGCTCTCTGTAAGATTCTAAACTCCACAAAGTCTCAAAATCGGCTTATACGAAGAAGGGAAATGGATTATTCATTTATTAGGTTATCCGGAAAATGATGTCTCATCATGTTTTATTATGCATTGTCGCGGCGAGTGAGCACGAAACTAAGTATATGGTGTACCAACCGATAGAGCAGAGCGAGCTCTACAAAATGAAGCCTAAACATTGGCTCGAAGACTGATTTGCGTAAAGTTTGTATCCAGATTCCACGAGGCACTGAAGGGCTAAAAAATTTCACAATATAAACATGAACCTACAACTTTTTACAAGGTTTGTTTTCGAGAAAAATCAAATTTTTCTCAAAAGACCCAAAACTGAGACATGTTCGCACTTTTGACTAATTTTTATTTCTCGTGTTCGAGCCATGAAAGAATTCCACAAATTCTACCTGTGAATATCTGATGCAAGGAGTGCATGCCTATGCAAATTGGAATTCCGTAAGACAATTATGGACGGACATACAATTTTTTCGGGTGCTGGAAATTTTTGTATTTCGGATTCGAACTTTGGTGAAACGAAGTTTCCGCAATAATTTGTAATCCATCTTATAGAGCTTGTTTTGCTATATCACATGTTACTCCACCCACTGCTTTTCGTGATGACTCTGTCGCGGTAGGATGCAAAGCGACATTACTTTCTGAACAACCTAATACATTATTTTTACATTATCAAATGAGGTATCATTATAAAAGTTACTTTGTAACTGCAAATAACCTCTTTTTCTTTTCCTAGCAAAGTTGACATTTGCTTTTGTAAGTTCTCACTTTGTTTTGGGTTTCGGATAGCTCAGTGCCAAAGCGAAGACAGTAAAAAAAGTATTAGAGTAACGCAAGTGTAAACTGGCTTAAGAAATTCTCCGACTGTGACGAGAGTTAAGTCAATTTTTCCTCTCAAAGTAACGAGACTTAGGTTACAATTTCATAATTCAATATCAAATAAATAGGATGATAAGTATGTTATTTCGCCCATATTCAGACATTCGTGATGCTCTCGTGAGCCTCTGGGAGCGTACTGGACCGCAGAAGTTCACAGTGAGTTCTTATCACCAACTGGTGAGCAACGCTTCGTCAACGTCTCAATTCAGAAATCCAATGAAAAATACGAAGGAGGTGATGACTACCTGATCCTCACTTGCGACAACACCATGGAGTCTGCGAAAAGAGGCAAGGAGACAGCGAAAATGGTGCAAATCTGGAAGAAAGATCATAACAAATGGGTCATCTATCATGAAGAGTGCGATGTGAAAAAGTAGATGCCATGAAGTGCTTAGAGGTGCTCTCTATGTTGTGATGTTCATCATCAGCAATGAAAATGAGTCTGTTTTTGCTTTTTTTGGGGAGAGGGTGGGGTGTAGAAGGAACAGAAACATCAATGTTTGTCTCAAAAAGGAAAGAAATTACAATAATCTCGAGTCTTTTGTAACCCAATATGTGAGCCTATACACTAGGCGCGGCAACGGACGACAACCCTTTTTAGTGACATCTCAACAAAACCTTTCTTATCGTAACAAGTGGAATGTGTACTACTAACTAATACGGATCCAACCAGATCAAAAGAGACAAAAAATAAAGGAAATTAACTGGAAATGAGCAGATTCTGATCTTACAAGTCGTCAAATAGCGAGCATGGTATGCAATACGCACGTTAATCACAAATAAGACGTTATGATGCCATTTTAAGTAAAAATCTCTCTTGTTTATAGGTTCACTTTCTTTAAACTTGTTTGTAGTTTTCAAACTCTTGGCCACTAAAATCAATCACCTTCTTCCTTCTTCGAGGATACGTAAGC